ATCACGGACATTCATATATTTGAATTAAACTATTATTTTGTTTATGCCTAAACCTTTTCTTTATTTGAAAAATTTATTTTTGTATGTTTACCCCCATGATTTAATTATGTGTTTAAAATTTATTTCTATATGCCAAACGGCCAAATTTATTTCTATATGCCAAAATACAAAGATGTACCAACAAGATAAATTTCTACTTAAAAAATCAATTCTGGTATACCAAACATTGACAGAACATAATAATATTTTTAGTCTTTTATGTTTATTTTCTTATTCCTACTCTTTTCCTTTAAGTGTTTCTCATTTTTCACCAATTTTTTTTTGCTTCTGTTTGTTTGGCTTTTTTTGTTTTATTTTGGTAAATTATTCACATATTTACTTTATGTTCTGCCAATGTTTGGTCCCCGATTATAAAAATTGCAAAATTTTTTTTTGTTGGTGTTGAACTATCTAACAATATTTTATTATAACAATATTTTTTTTTTAAATTTATATTTAAAAAAAAATATATATATATAAATATATATTCTTTTGTAATATATATATATATTACAAAAAATAAAACAAAAAATTTAAAATAAAATAAAAAATTTTAAAATAATCCAAGCAAAGAAAAGTACGACAACATCCAGGCAAGCATCGATCAAATAACCTTCTGGCTATCAGACTACCACGCTACGCACTAGGCTACGCAGTACCTTGAATTTCCCTTTATAATTCTATATTTTATTTATTTTTCGTAAAACTCTTCAAAAACCATTCTATTTTACATTATATATATATATAGCTACTTCTCAGGTGCGGGTACTTTTAGAAGGGCTAGACACATGGGACAAATGGCATTAGATAGAGTTTTGCCTCTAGGGTCCTAGAAAAAGCAAGAATCCCACTCACCCTCCCTCTTCAGCCCCTCCAAAAGTGCTTTGTGCTGCTTTTTACGAATTGGTATTACATCCTGTATACATATTGTACAGGTAAGTCCTATATATGTATTGTACATTAGTAAGCAAAACATAAGTGTACATTAAATTTCCTGAAAAGTTAGGACGAAATTTAATAAGAAAATTTAATTTTACATATTGCATTAACCTTCTGCAAATAGGGTATTTTCAAAAAAATATTTAGAACAGAAACTCGTTGATATTGATTTGTAAGGATAAAGCTTTTTATACCCGCACGAACGTATGTTTGAAGGGTATACTACATTTACCTTACTGTTTGTAACACTAAGAAATAATGGTCTTAGATATAGACTCAAGTGTATGTTTGTGATCAGTGTCCGTCCTTCCCAACGATAACTCAAAAACTAATTGTGCTAAGTTTCCAAATTTTCACAAATGATTTACTATAGTAAGTGCTAGAACCCTATTGAAATTGGATATGATCGGAGTATTGGTTCGACTAGTTGCCATACAACTTCAAAATTTATTTATCTATATCTCAGAAACTATAAAAGCTGTGGTATTGAAATTTCGTACAGGTCAATATGTAAGTATATTACTGGCCAATGTATAAGTATGTGTTTGATAAAACTAGTTGAAATTTCTTGGTTCCTTCTGGTGGCTGCCATACAACTTCAAAAGTTATTTGGCTATATCTAAGAAACCATAAAAGCTGTGATATTGAAATTCACACAAGCGAATATATTAGTTGGGCCAATGTGTTTGATAAAATTCGTTGAAATTCCTTGACTCTTTCTAGTAGCTTCCATACAACTTCAATAGTAATTTGGCCATATCTTAGAAAATATTGAAACTGAAATTTTGCATAAATTAATATAGAAATTTAAAGTTATAGCCTGCCCCAAAGTCAGCTATGTCATATTTATTCGCACACAGAATAGCAAATATGTACGGGTAACACAGAGTTGACACGGTCAACTTTTGTTTGATACGGGTTTTGCTCGTTTAATTTCATTTTGCATAAGACCAAAAAAAAAAAATTATCAATAAAAAAAAAGTTCATCTGACAGATCGCATTTTTCAGGGTTCGGAGCTGAGACTTTTTGCATGGAAATCGTATGTTATACGCATTACCCTATGTAGTATTAGTGTTAAATGATTATACTTTCACGCGCTTTATTCGCATGTATTATAAAGTCCAAATGTATATGTGCATGGATGCTAGTAGCGAATTATTTTATGGCTAAACAGTAATTGATCGCTTAATGTGCTTATTGTCAAAGGTATTTTCCAATTTTATGCGACATAAGTCAAAGCGAGGTTCTAAAATAAATTACTCAAAAGATATTAGATCTCAAAGGAGCTAAATATTTGCTTAAATATGTACTTTTTTGTAACTATTTTGAAGAGCTTTTCTTATTTTAAGTTTTATCTTATATGTATATTACGAGTGTGTTTTTGAAAAAAGTAAACTTAAAATATCTCACACACAGAATGGAACACAATTTCAAAAGTGCTTTCACAGCTATGTTACTATGACGCTTCATTTAAAAGCTTGTCTTAGATATTATTCTTCAATAATATCTACTTGTATTTTTGTCTGGAACTCACACATGTTGTAATTACTAATGTTCAGATTTCGGATCCAATAATAATTTATTGCATTTTTCGAATTATTATATTATGAGCAGAATATATTATTCTCCTTTGTTCCAAAACAAAAACATTATCCTTTACCCATGTTTAACTTTTCAATTATAAGCACTGATAACTTACAATCAATTGGAACAAGATCATTTGAATAAAAATCAAAACAACAACTAAATAACATAAGTGAAAGTGTTATTTACTTGTCCATAACTGTATATTTTTTTATTTTTTTGCTTCACTAATTAAAATTTTAATAAAAAATAATTTTAATTATGTTACTTAAAGTTTAGCCAAAATTATATAAAAGTCTATTGCTATCCATATTTACTTAAAAAATTAACCATAACCGCCTCCTTAATAATGTACGTACATTTAAATTTATAACTATTTTGAAATAATTCAAATGTTTACTTTGAAAAAACTGTCAGAAATGTCAAAAACAAAAAATTGTAAGGAAATGCTGCCACTTTAAATTTTTTATGATGCGATTTTGTTACATAGAACTAAACCTCTTGCGACTTTCGCATTTTCACATAGTAGGCCATCTGATTTAAAATTTTAAAATATTAAAAATTTAAAATTTCAAAATGTCAATTGACAAGAATTACTTTAATTGCATTTGACTGTCATTTGCAAATGATAGTGATAAATATGATCGTCAGATTGATAACGTTCTGGGAAAGTGCCACACATACAAACACGAGGTTGTTTTCACTATATAGAATGAAGAGTCTATATGTAGTAAAAAAAATATTGCTATAATATTTATAGGTCGATTTGGGTATTTTTGCGAATTCGTGAATTTTTATTATTGTGTTGGGACGATTTGTTATATAAAAACATTGTTTTGAAATAAAGAAAATTTCCTCATAAAACCTTAGATACACATAGAGGAAACTGGTGCTAGAAAAATTATATACTTTTTCTTTTGAATTAAAATTTTTGTGGCTACTGTGTGAAAGCCTTACAAGGATAAAGCTTTATAAAAATTATGAATAAACCAGTGGCCAAAATTGTATTAATTGTGTTGCCAATAACAAAACCTGTCTTACATGAGAGAAATTGGAAATTTGTTTAATTTATCTGCCTTGATTTTCTTTCATTTGACTATTTGTATTATATGAAATTTATTTATCGCTGGTTGTACAATATAGGGGGTGTTTCGCATAAGAAATAATTTCAGGGATGATTTTTTGATCAATTTCCAGCAAAAAATTGTATATGGTGAAGGTAATTGGGGTATGTTACATGGCTCCAAAGTTATAAGCATTTATTTATATGCAGGAAAAATCTGGTACCTTTTTTTTCAATAAGCTGTAGCTCGTGAACGAGTATATACGCACCATATACAATTTTTTGCTGGAAATTTATCAAAGAATCATCCCTGAAATTATCCCTTATGCGAAACACCCTGTATCATATATTATGAAGAAATTTTCTTTAAGTAAATTTAGTTTAATCTCTATGGGGTTTTTCGAAGATATTTTTAGTACGAGTATTAGATTATCGATAATCCTCGTATATATTCGTATAATATAATACAATACTATCGTATATAAGTTTCAATTCCGAACCATAATTTTTTGGGTACTATATAATTTCGTTATTATATACATAAGTATATATATAGATACTGTAGTTCAGATCTTTTGTATTAAGCACGAAGATTATCTAGATTGAATGAAGAAATAAACCAATATTTTTTGTTTGTTTTTTTTAGTATTGCTTAGGAGATAAGGGTTTAAATAAGGGTTGAAAAGTCTTTTTTAAATTTAAGGGTGGTTTTTTCGAGGCGTACGGGCTTTTAAATTTTTTTCTTTTTTTCTTTTTGTAGACAAATATAATTACTAATCTCTACTACAATTTTTTTTTTGTAACTTTTATTTTAGTATTTTTTAATTTATTTACGCACTTTTTAATATTTTGTAATTTTTCTTGTTGAATTTCTTCTTCTTCATTTATCTTATTTTCCATACTTCTTCACTCAAACAAGCTTTTATCTCCTTTCTGCCCTACTATTCTATTTTTCTCTTTTTCAATTTAAGCTCTTTGCTCATTTTACTCCCAATTTCTGTTCTTTTATTTGAATTTTTTTTATTTTCCAAATAATTATGCTATAAAATTTGCTTTTTTCATATTTTTTGGTTTTTTGTGCTCTGTACTGTACGTATATACATTTTTTTATGGGTAGGTACTAAAAATATTCACTATTGGGAATTCATAGATAACTAAAAAAAATGTTGTTTTAGGTCAAATATGATTTTTTAAATGCTTTTTTTATTATACTACTTGTTTTGCATCACATTTTGCTAATATTTGTGTGCTGTTTTTGATCCAGAACGAATTTGTGTTTGGTTTTCCCAATTTTTTTTTTGTTTTTGGTTCTTTTATTTTATTTTTACTTTTTTTATTTTTTTTTTGTTTGCTGCTAAATGTTGTGATTTTCAGAATTCCGCTATGCGGCCATCACCACCAACCCATCCACCCAGTCAGCAGTCCCCACATCCACAGCCTCCACCTTCACAAATGATGCCTGGTCAGGTTAGTACACTCCCAATCATTAAAAAAAAAAATTCACATACAAAAAAACAAAGGAAAAACACAAACATTTAAAATACAAAAGCTCAATTTTTTCAGATTATCAATTTTAATTCTTAATGAATTATAAGGAATTCTTAATGAAGATATTATTTCTCCAAAAATAAAATCAATCTTTTGCGTATCTTCCGCATCCCACAGCGGCTTTCCTCCCCTTCAAATATTTTTTTAAACGTGCTATGTTAGAACTACATTATATATGTTATATGGTCCTTTTTATTAATTTAATATGATGATCGTATGATTTCTGCAAATGACCATCATCTGCAAAGTTGACACTGACATTATATGACTCTAATCATTTGACTTTCGAAATTAATCACACTTGCAAAAACTAATTCGATATTTTTAAATTAAAATGTGATTCAAATATGTAGTCGTTGTGCGGTCCAATACCTCTACAAAAATCACGTTAATTAGTATTTTTATATATCTATAAAGGAAGAATCAACACTTACTCACTTTCATCTGCATCTGTAATCGCTATTTTCACTTAAATTTTGATCCTCTGCCACTTCGCTCATTTTTGCAATTACTTTTTTAAAGATGCGTAAATGACACATTAATGGTTGCAATTTTAACATATTTACGGCATGGAAATATTTTAACATATTTACTGAGGTCATCAAAAGCTCCTCTAGAGCGGCGTCCTCTTGGAAGGCTTGCAAAGGTTTTGGAAAGTGAACCAGCAGCGCCAAGTAGATTGATAGCTGCATGATGGAGTTGATCTTCCCTGAAGCTCGAAGGGGGCGTGCTTGGACTAATCATTTTGAGGAATCCTGTGCGAGGGTACTGGTCACTGATAGGGGAATATTGAGGGCCATTCTCAGCTTTGATCCATTCAAATCGACGGGCCCTAGCCGGCAGAAGTACAATACGCTGCACGGTGCTGGTCATCCTTCCTTGCTTAAAATTATCTATGAGTGCTGTATATACTTATTCTACATTCCAAGAAGGTGGAATGTTGCTTAAGTGGTCTTCATTCCTAAGGCTGGAAGAAGCTCACACAGCTGCCCAAGAATCTCCGACCCATCAGCCTAACATCATTCTATTAGAGATATTGGAAAAGAATTTGGATAACGCATACATGAGGAGTATCCTTAATCCGTGCTCTGATAGAGAATTTGCGTTCCGGAAAAAGCATCAGGGCCAGTTTTGGGGGCTCGGGACTTCGATTCGGCCGAGGCAAGCCTGGCTGAACAAGGGAGACCTTGAGGACGGATCCGTCCATTTTACGCACATGGATTCAGGCTCAATGGCAGGGTAATTAAGGGAGTCAATTCTGAACAATTGGATGTTGTGCTTTCCTTTCGAGCTTGCGGAACATGGAACTACACCTGGGACTTCAGCTGGTAAGGGGTTGCTGTTGCGCAACGCGGCAATGGATCGCATCATTAGATTGGCGAATAGAACAACGCCTAACGCGACAAGGAATTCATGACCAAGGATAGATTTGCGTCGCACAAGATATCAGATTTCTCTCAGACGGGAGGATATCAGTGTTTTAGTAGGGGTTCTTCTCCTCCGTCGTCGATATTACTTTCAAAATGTTAATGTTCACCACTTACCTGTATTTTTCGACTTTAACGAACCTCTGTATAAAGGGTGAACCTGTAACGTGGTCTCTCTCGGGGACAGAATTGTGGGACAAAAATCGTTCCGAGAGGGTGAAGTCTGTAATAAGAAATTTTCCTGGTGACCGAAAATTCGCTTGAACAAGTTCGGAAATTTGAATATTTCAAACATCAAAGAGATCTCAATTTATGTATACTTGTGAATTAGAATGAACATTATATGTTTAGATCCATAGTTATTAGTTTAAGAATTGAATTATTATAATATAATATGTGATTTTATAATAAACTGACTTATAATTTATGAAGACTACAAGGATAGGCTAGAATCAAGTGGGAATTTTCCCCGGATCTTGTTGGGCCACTGTAGTACTACTTTGTCAAGACACTTTGCAAATCCGCGTGGAAGGTGGGGACCTCAGTACACCTTCTGGTAGAGTTGGTTGCTCTCGTTTGCAGGAGAAGGGAAATACTGAGCGACATTACTCTCACGGCGGTCACCCGGACTTCACAGTTGCTCGAGCTCATCAGGGCGATGGATCCCAAGCGACTACTGCAGGGTTATGCTCCACACTGGGAAAGAGCACAATAGATCCTTATGAGTGATCACGGTACTCTGTTATTCCGGTTGAATACAAATCTACAAAATAATAGACTGATAATTTTCAAATGAATAAAATAACTTTAGGAAGAAAATAATTTTCTTTTTTGATCAATTTTAACATTCCATATATTTTTTTAACATTCTTTATTTTAAAACTCACCGACAAAAAGTTGCCTTTATTTTGTTCTTTTTCCGAATAAACATTTTTTTTTTTAATTTTGCTTTTCTCAAATTTAAATTATTTATTTATTTGTTTTTAACTTGTATAATAAAATGTGTCAAAAACATATTAAACGTATTTAAAGCGTCAAAAAAGAATTCTACCTCGGGCTTATTTTTTCTCGTTTTGATTGTACGTTCATTTTTTGATTGTTAATGATTTAATGTTGACACTGCATCAAAACTTTTAGTCATAACTTAATTTCTTAAATAAGCTATAATTTACTAAAATTATAAGAAAATTCATTTAAATTTTTGTAATCTCTAAAATTTGATATCATTATAGTGTTGCCATGATATATTTGTACCATATATACATAAATGCATTTGATACATAAATGTATTTGTACACATATACATAAATACATGCAATGTTTGGTGTTGTGTATACCCTCTTGTCAAGTTTTAAATGTTTATATGCATATTTGTAAAACCCTTACTTTACAGAGTGGAACGGAACTGGTGTTAAAGCGCTCTCGAATTTTGGGAAAACGTCTAGAGGAGGTTTAAAAAAAAGTATTCGGGGACGATGTCTAAGATTGGTTTAAAAAAATAGATTATTAACGTTTTTTCAAAAAATTTTAATTTTTAATTCAAAATTTTGATTTTAAACAATCGTTACTCGAAAACACCGAGAGCTTTGATATCATTTCCGGATCACCTTATACATATATTATTTTTTGTTTTATAAATTCAATTGCCAGATAAATACTTATCATCATGATCTATTAATTTAAAAATTGTGCTATGGAATGACACAAAACGTAATGATGACGTCATATTTTATGTTTTATATGGAATGACAATACAAAACGTAATGATGACGTCATATTTTCAAATACCAATGTTCTATTTAGTAGGTCTTGTAAATTATATTAGAAAGTGATTATTAATTTTTTTTTATATTTTTTTTTTATAAAAGAACAACCCTTGCTGTTTTCGAATATGAAAATTAACATAACTTTGGAAGTCTTTCTTAAATCACTCAAAACATTGTGACGCATAACAGGAAAAGAAATAATAATGTCAAATAGATTTTTATAAAAAAACTACCCAAATAAGTTATTTGGGAAGGAGGGTGAGGAATAAAACATTTCAATTTTTAAATTTGGAACAAAAACTGAGTATTAAAATTTTGATCTAAGTTAATCAAAACTGGATTACTTTATATTGATTAACGATAAATCAATGTTACTCTAAATAAAGATAAACGAAAAATATAAAGATAAACGAAAGCAATGAAAATCGCATTCTTAAAATGATATATTATACCTAAACTATATGCTCTTATTGTGTTAACTTTCAAATTCGAATTTAAAACCAGATTTTAGAAATTTAAACATAAGTATAATTAAATATATTTTTTAAAAAGCAAAATATTGGCAAATTAATAAAAAAACATGTATTTATTAAATCTATATTATTTTAATATAGATTGTGATATGATGGTAATCCCAATATTTTACTATCTTTATTTGTGCCAACAATGTAACTAAAAATATTTATATAAAATAATTTTATATGATAATTGAAAAACAATTTCAAAATGTGTTATATTTTTTCTTTATTAACAAAAAAAAACTATTTAGCCATTTATGGGAGCACCGAGATATCCATCAGGTCCAAGACCAAATGTTAGAATGCCACAAGGAATGGGTAGCGATTTTAATGGGGTAAGTCATCATATGTATATGTACTAAAAATCCATTTTTTATTCTCTTTTGTGAATCCAATTGAAAACATTTTAAAAAATTTTCTTCTAACTTGGGTTGCTTGGGTGCATAAAAACTGACTTTAAAAAATTGGTATTCCTATCAGTATGGAAAAGTTTTGTGGTGTTTGTGGTTAACAACAAACACACAATAGATTTTTGTGATCGAGTAGACGTTTCATAAAATACAGCTCAATTGACTTTCTTTTATTTAGGTTATGCACACTAACAAATTCTAATGGTTTAAAGTTAAATAATTAAAATTCAATGTTCTGATGCTCTTTTTTTTTTATATTTTTTAAATTTAGCCACCTGGTCAACCGATGATGCCAAATAGCATGGATCCTACAAGACAAGGTATATACATAAATATTTCTTTATGATTTTGCATATAAGTATATTCATAAACAGTTTTTGTTCAAATGTAAATACCATAATATGATTTAGTGTTTTTGATAATGCAATATGCTTTCGCATTTCTAACTTAGAACTTAAATAACTTAGATAACAGAAAGACGCAGCTGTAAAAACTTCAAATTTAACATTGTATAAAAAAATTTTTTTAGTTGTGAAAATTCTAAGATTTTCATATTTTATTTAAAGTTTCATTTTCAAATGAAAATATTTTATTAGTTCGAATTCACTGAAATATAGATTTAAATTTTTTGTTAAAGTAATGACAAAATTTAAAGAATTTTATTCTAATAAATCCTATAAATCCATTATTTTTTTTTAATTACAAATTAGTTTCCACAACAGTATAATCGAAGCTGAGTATTTACGCGTATATCTTAAAAATCTAACATGCAATTGTAATGTTAAAACAAACTGCAAAAATAGTACCGTAGTATGAAACACAATTTTTTGTTGTCGAACAAAGGACATATTTACAACTAAGTTAGAACTGAATTATCAAAAACGCAGATTTACAAAGTTATATAAAATACAATTAATAAATAAATTTCAAGGGGGTCCACCTGGAATGGGCCCAATGAATCCACGAATGAATCCACCACGTGGTCCTGGTATGGGACCAATGGGACCTGGTTCATATGGTCCTGGTGGAATGCGTGGGCCTCCACCAAATAGTAGTTTAGCACCTGGTGGTCCCGGTATGCCACCTGGAATGGGAATGGGTGGTAGTAGACCACAATGGCAACCGAACACGTCAACACCAATGAACTATTCATCATCATCTCCTGGGAATTATGGTGGCCCTCCTGGTTCTAGTGGACCACCTGGCCCTGGTACGCCAATAATGCCATCACCTCAGGGTAAATTAAATTATTATATTATTTTATTTATTCAATTTTTTAACTTTAATAAAAAATATTCTACATTCTTTTAGATTCATCTAATTCGGGAGGAGAAAATATGTACACATTAATGAAACCAGTTTCTGGTGGTAATATGGGTGGGGTAAGTATATATATATAATAAAACAAGTAATAAATGTTATATATGATTTTTTTTTAATTTTTTGCCTTTTTTTAAGGAATTTCCAATGGGTGGAGGACCAGATAGTGGTCCAATGGGACCTATGGGACCCAACACAATGGGACCTGTCATTAATGGTGATGGTTTAGACGGAATGAAAAATTCACCTGCTAATGGTGGACCAGGTACACCAAGAGAAGATTCTGGTAGCGGTATGGGTGATTATAATTTAGGTGGTTTTGGAGGTCCAGGCGAAAATGTAAGTGAAAAACGGAAATATATATACATATATGTATGTATACTTATTTTAAAAATTTCTATTCCATATTTCATTAATTTTGTATTCTCCTTGAATGTACATTTCCTTACATTGTCCCTCAATTTACCTTCTCTAAATTAATTCTCTGAATTAATTTTTTTCACCCAAGGAAATCTTTCCATAAAATTTTGCTCATTTGTATGTATTTCACGTCATTATCCAGAGTACCTATTTCATTATTGAAATTTTTAAAATCAACTAAAAAAATTCATCATTTTCATTTTTAAGGATCAGACGGAATCAGCGGCAATTCTCAAAATAAAAGAAAGTATGCAGGAAGAAGCGAAACGTTTCGAAAAAGATTCTGATCATCCAGATTATTATATGCAATAACATCTTTTTCATAAAGGTTGAACGCAAAAAAAAAACACAAAAAAAGAGAAAAAAAACAAAAACAAAAAAAAGGATAACATCCATTATATTTCATACCCAGTCTCCTCAACACCCATCCTCCCCCGCCACCGTTTTACATATTTTACATATTAATCAATAAAAACACAAAAAAAAAAACAAAAGAAAAAAAAAGTATTTATGTATATGTAAATTTATGCTATATATATTTCATTGTGTAATTGTAAATTAAGAAATTAATAAAACAAAAACAAATGTAGTCGATAAAAAAAAAATTATTGATTACATAATAAAAAATCTTATATAATTAGATGGCTTATTTCGAAAGTGTTCCTAAGTCCATATTTTAATTAAAAATTAAATATTGCTACTCTATTTTGGGTTTAAAGTAACTAAAACTGTTCGTATAAACTGGTTATTTGCTTTATATAGAATATCTGATTTTTCTATCCGACACAACATAAGTTTTATTGCCAACTATATTGATGTTACCATATTTACTTTGAAAATAAGAAAGAGTTTTAAAATTACAAATGGATAAACTTAGGTCACACTGTTCAAATAAACCCATCCAATTATAATAAAATTATATTTGTTTTTTCTGTGAGCGTTTAATTATTTTTTTTTCAATTTGTTTCACATCATACATGTATATGAAATCTATAAAAACTCATAAATATTTATATAATATGAAAAATTAAAACTTAAGATTTATAAATATTATAAAGTTCCATATTATTGGACATATCAGAAAAAAGAAGTAAAAATTAAAAAAAAAATCTTTGAAAATTTTAACTGATTTGAGCAAACATCAGACAATTTAAGCAAACAAATGTCACTAAAGTTTGACGATTAAACTGTTTTTTTGTTCTTTTTTCGTGTTTAGAAACAAACAAAAAATTTACATGAAGTACTGAGAATAAATTTGAAATAGTTGTAGTAAATTAGAAAAGTTTTTAGAGTTAAGAAAAAATTACCAATCGTAAAAGTTAAATTTACGATTGGTAATTTTTTCATATTTGTTACATGACCAAATTGGCAGTAAGTCACCTTAATTTTAAAAATTGTGCTAAATCAGTAGTTAATTTTCAAAAATACTTCCTAAATATTTCTTACTAATATTAACACACACCGCGTGTACATGGCAAAAATGTTTTTTTTTCTAGCATTTTTATAATAAATATTTATAAAAATTTCTTGCGTCTAAAAATAAAATCGTCAAACTTTGCTTGATTTTGTAAGCAATTTTAAAAAAAGAAATAATTATGTAAACGTAAATAAAATATTTCCAGTTCTCTTTATGTATTTTCTATATATTTTTGTATATTAAGTTGGGTGTAATGCGTGTGATTTTCACAGGGCAAAATAAAAAATTTCAAATTAAATCCGTTCCTCATTATTTTTTTCTGTTAAAAATTAATTTAAATTAATTTTGTTATTTTCTTATTTTAACAGCGAAAATAAAAGCTCAAAATATAGGTACTATCCATATTGTACAATTTATACAAAAAACTACATAAATACATACATACATATATAATTATATGTATATTATATATATTAATTAATTAATTTAATATATGTATCAATTAATTAATTTAGTATATTAACTAATTTTTAATAGTTTTATTCTATACATTTGTTCGTTTTTTTTCTTCCCTGTGCACGTTTTCAAAAATTGTTAACTTCAACTTACATAATGTTATTATACTATTTGTATATTGTAATTTTATATTAAAATATAATTATTCATTAAAAAATTTAATAAATGAATAATTGAAAAAAATGGTATATAAAAACAATAAATAAATAAAAAAAAGTAAGGAATAAAGAAAATATACGTAGGTGTAATCGATAATGTAAAATGTGCGTTAAATTCCTTTTTTACATCTTGCTCGATATTGCAGTTAACATAAGCCCATTATAACTTTTAATGAGAACAGGTTTGTGTCATTTATAGTGTAAATCGATAATGCAAAAAACAAATAAATGTCACGTAATTAATAATGGCACATAATCATATTTTAAATTTTTTTCCCATTTTTTTAATAAAAATAAATTTCAATTGCTAATTTTTTTACCGTAAAGTGCAAAATTTTGAAGAGGATAAATTCCACTTTATTTATTTAAGTTTAGAGTTCTAGAAATATTCAAATCAAAAATAAATTTTGAAACAGTTATCAACCGGTTGTATGCGAAAATTGTACGTATACGGAGGTTGATGATATGTAAGTTTTTACAAGCATAAAGTCACTGATTGCCGTTTGGTTGGTTTTTGGTGACCGCCAGATACAATTTCAGATCGACCAGCATTTCATATTTTCGATTACACCTAATTTATGGTGTCAGAGTAAACAAATATTTTTGTTCGAAACAAATTCCAAAAACTTAAAAAAAAATATGAAAACAAATGAATAACATAATAAAAAAGTCTTAAAAACAGTTAATTTAAAAAATAAAAAATAATAATTATAACCCCGCAAAAAATATAGAAGATATTTATTTTTAATGTGTAAAAATAAAATATAAAAAATAAAACGCAAAAATTAAATAAGTAATAAAAACAGAAATTAAATAAGCATTACTACAAATTAATTTTAAAAATTAAATAAAAAAAAAAGAGAAAAAAATCAATAAAAAGTAGGCAATTTTTAAGTAAAAAAACTTTTGTGCTATTATTTCAAACTAATGCAAATGTGATTCGAAGTGGTTGCTTTTATGGTCGCCAAAAATTAGCGAATGAATAGTAGTCAAAACTTAACTATGGAAAAATTTTCGACAATTCAGATAATGCAATTGAATTCTTCTCTTACATAAATCTTAAATTTTTTTTTTTTTGCATTGCAGATCTATTGGAACTATGTACATAGTTTACTTTTTCCGATCCAAGTTAAACTGAATTTCCGCAAAATTTCTTTATAATTAATCATTTTATCAAATAGGTTTGATATTCGGCTAACTATAAAAATGCTAATAAGGTTAAAAGCGAACAAAGGCAAAAATTTTCCATGCAATAAATTATAAAAATATAACTAATATGTGTTATAAAAAATAATAAATCTTATTTTTTTCATTTTAAAATCTCATTTGTTTCTTAGAAAATACTTTTTCATCTTGAGTTTCACAGGATTTAAGTTGATTTTCAAATTAGGCAAAAATAATCCTTTTTTTGTATCATTTATAATACAGATTCGCCTTTTTTAATAAAAAGAATAACTGTCTTTAAAATCTTTAATCTTAACCTGTGTTTACTTAAAATTCTTCAGTAATCTTTTCTCTTTCGACCGCCGTTCCCGGAGATTTAGCTCAAATTCGGGATCGAAATTCAGAAATTTTAGTTTTTAATTTTTTTTGTATGACTTTTGTTCGTCTTTGTTATGTTTGCTTAACTTTTTAAATTATATTAATTATAATTCAGTAAACGAATTTTTTTTTTTTAATTTTTAAAGCCACAAAAATAACTAAATCTAGGATTTCAGATGCTAAATAACTAAATCTAGGACCTGTTATGGTGTAACGTAAGTATTGTGTACCTATATATTAAAACAATTTGATTCGTTTTAAATAAATTTAATAATGTAACTTGTTTTGACAGTTTTGAGCAAGTGATACGATTAAAACAATAATAGGTGCAAAATTTACAATCTCAAACGTTTTAAAATCATTAAGTTAATAAATTAAATAATAATGTGTATTAAATTCAATTTAAATTTTTTAAGCTATATACTAAGAATATGTAAATAGAACCGCAACTTAAAAATGCATTAAAAATAAAAAATGTAATTTCTAACGCAGCCAATCTTTCCTGTCTCATATTATTATATAATCTAGTTCGCTGTCAAAAACATACCGTTATTAAATAAACCAAGAACCACAAAAAGTACTGAAAAATTTCCCAAAAAATGAAAAATATTTCAATCGGGGAATACTTCGAAAACGTTAAAGATTAAAAATTGTTTTTCTAACTGCCTCAGTTCGCGATATTTCGAAAAAACAATTTTAGTTTGGTGGTCTCATAGATATAATATATGTATGGGATTAGTCTTACCTATCTTAAGTTAACTTGAAAGCTATAAGTTTCGGTTTCGTTCCTTGCCTGCATAGATCTTTGGGTGATTCTTTATTTATTCGTTTCTATATAAAATAACTCTTCACGAGAAACGAAAACTGTGCCTACCGATTACTCATTACTTTTGATTAAAAAATTAAACAAGTTTAAATAAAAATAAAGAACGATACATACCTGCTATTCTAATAATTAATATGTAATATTGTTTCCAGTATCATCAATTTTTTACCGTTTATTTATATCAATTAAGGTGGTTATTTATAGATCCGCAAATTTTCTTTAGTAAAACCAAATTTAATAAACCTTATTGAAATTTAAATTTCAAAAAATCCTTATATATGTATACATACGAGTACATACATAATATATATTATATACCTTTTGGAGGTATCGGTGCCATTATACTCATTTCAGGATATTTCTCTAATAAATTTGCATTGAACGGTTCCTCATCCCTTCCACTTAATAAAATAATCTGTGCGTAAATACTTTTAAAAATATTAATTTGCAACCGAAAATTGGTTGAGCTTTTCTTATGACTCGTAACGTATTTGTTACATACAGCTGCATTAATTTGTAACAGCATTTACAGTTTTCCATATTTGTAGGTTTAATTATGTACCTCTATATAAAATGTAGAAGTACATAATTAGATGTAATTAAACCTACGACATTGAAAATGTACCTCTACATTTTATATGAAAAATTCCAAAATTAACGCGTAACGTAATACCTACACTAGATTCAAACTTTTGATTCCAAAAAGTGTTGGAACTTGTCATGTGTGGTACGCGAACGAACTAATCATAAAGAGCGAATCACTTCACTTAACCTAGCTGATTAGTTCACTTCTTCAAAAATGAATAATTTAAAAAAAATTACTGCATATACATATTTTTATTTACTGCATATACTGCATATACATATTTACATACAATTGGAAATTAATATACATTTTATATTTTTCCTTATTTCTTTCTATATAATATTATACAATACAAATAAAATTGAACGCCATAATAATTACAACTAAATAACAATGAATTAGAAATACTAAATGAAGAAGCATCTTGAAAAAACAATGAAGCCAATTTTTTTCTAGTTGTCTCTTTCCTTGCTCCGAGCATTGTCAAAGTCGAAACAGGAGCGTATTTATTTTATTTTCTTGTCTGGTTTCTACTATAAAATATGTGTAATTTGTAGAAAGATTTTTTCATTTAAGATATCTGTGGAAAAAAAACGAATTTAAACAAAACTCATAATCAAAAAATTTTTTTTTCAATGGTTGATAATTTTTCCGAAATATAATTATAAGTGCGTATGTAGCGCACGAAATATATTAGCGAAAAATAAAATTAAAAAAAAAAGTATTTTATTCCGAATAAAAGGAATTTTTCTTTTCATACCAATAAAAAAAAAAAACTCATAAATTTTTTTCTTTCTTTAAATAAATTTATTTTATAAATTGCAAATAACTATAAGTATTTTAATATCACAATATTTTATTACCCTCGGAAATGAACATAATTTGTTAAAAATTTTCTATATCTATTATTAGTTTTGTTTGACAATTTTACTGAACAACTGTAAACAATATTAATGACAATAAATCTTAATAATTCATATAAATCTTAATGAGTCTAAAGCAGTATAATTTTTAACAAATTTTAATTAATATGGTGGTTATTACTCACTGAAGTAGATGGTATGTTGTCGTATTCTTTCTTATTTATTTCAATTAAGCTTCACATACTAATTAATTCTGAAACAAAATATTTTAGAATCCAAATAATTCACGCTAATATTTTATTTTACTTACTGAATTCAACGCCAATGGGGGGGCGTCTTCATGTATTTCTTTGGTGACTAAATCTTCACTCTATAAAGAGAAATATATCTAATTTCATCATTTAAAAATTTAGGAAAACTGTAATTATCCAAAAAAATCATTTAAAATATTTGTTTGTATGCTACATTTTATCAAACACAAACTCTTTTTGCTTAAAAAAAGTCCGGTGTTGGTAAAATTATGTTATTCGCAGTAATTTTAATTTAAACAAAACAAAAGCAAATCTTTTCTTTGCAAAATTAAAAACTTATTAAATTACAAATTATGAATTAATCAAAGCACTATTGAACAAATATTTCTTTTAATTATTGAAATGAATAATATTCACACGTATATGGTGTAGAAAAACTATTTGTTTTTGCAGACGGGAATATCTTTTTAAAACTATACAAAACTAAAACTATACATTTTTTTCTTTTTTCCACTTGTTACAATTTTTTATAAGTTTTTATAAAATAATATTAAATACTTTATGATTTTTTATTTACAAACTGCACTAACTTTATAAATAAAATAACAAAATCTTTTTTGCTTAAAAAAAAGAACAGCATTTGGCATTTAATGTTAATTTCATTTTGACAATGCTCGGAGCAAAGAAAGAGACTCACTGAAGTTTTTTTTTTTTCAAGGTACGATTTTTTCAAAGATTCGCCTTCCTTTAGTATTTCTAATTCGTTGGTATTCTATTCAGGAAAATTCTCCTAGGTGGGTTACTGTTATTTGCATTATTTTTTATATTAACCTACATGCAATTCTAATTATATCGAACGAGAAGTGAAATAAATGACATACTATACATATAAGTGACTGAACTAGATATCTATCTAAATAAATTGAAAGATTGAAGTAGTTGATTCAAAATGAAAGCTACCTCAATGAAATAAATAAAAGGAAGGTTGAGTTAAGCTACCATGTCTTATGCACAAAATATTTAGCAAAAAAAAGATAAAAAAAAAAAAAATAAAAAAAAACTAATCATTATAAGTCTATATTCGAACGCGTTAGGACAACAATATATTTTGTAAGTAAAACAAAAGTTAAAAAAAAATAGTATAGGATTTCTTAGGTTTGTTTATTCTAATTATTATTCTAGAATAATTATTTTTATTCTATAACTCTCCTAAAAAAAACAAAAAAATTTAAACTCATATTGTATTTATTAAACGCATGTACAAATCGAATATATTTTGAAATTTAAGAAATAAATTATTTATAAATTAAAACAGTTATTAAATGAGAGTTTTTTAAATAAAAGTTTTCAAATGACAGTTTTAAATTTTTCTTCTATCTACAATGGTGTACTAACATAGGACAATGTCGAAAAGTTTAAACCCCAGGCTGCAAAAGTCTGAAATTTTAACATCTTTCAGACACTTATAAATAGTTCATTTGTTAGAGGAAAATTTTTTTCCACCTCTACCCCCTCTCAAGTTATCGCCCCTCGAAATTTGTAAAATTTGAAAATCACCCTATATTTGCGAAACCGCAAGCTTCTTCAAACTTTTATAAATGCAGAAAGGTAACAGTAAATTCCATGTCGTTAAAAGATATAATTGTTTTTTTTTCTTAACTCATACCCTTAAAATCTAGCATTACTAAAACCCCTTTTTAAATTAATTTTTGCCTTATTTCAAAGACAGCATAAATCGTTAATGACTACATAAGTTTCGTATATAAATCAAAATAATTTTAATAGTGCGGTAAGCATATATAGATTGTTTTTCACAGCAGTATTTTCACTTGTTGGAGGGAAAAGTGCTACAATACACACCATTGGTTTGACCCAACTTTATACAATCTACAATCTGTATAAATGTTGAAGTGATGTAATTTG